TACCTACGCATCGCTCGCTTGTCGGCCTCGACCTGAAAAAGTAAATCGTGGTCGGTCGGCAGTCGGTCGATGTGCTCCTGGACGAAAGCCTCGTGTTCTGCTCTCTCTGCTTTTCTATCGATGGGCCGCGCTCCTAGTCCCCCTTCCAAGGCTGGGTGGGCAAGCTCCTGATACCAGTAGTCGCGGGGCCAATGGGTACGAGCTGATCGATAGTACCTTTTCTTTGGCCCGCGTCCGTTCCTCTGGTGCTGTATGCGTAGTCGGTGCATCTCGGCTAGGTTCCGGTTTTCGTAGGCCTCCCATATGCGTTCGACCAGGAGCGCCCGTCTTTGTTTCTCTACACCTTCTCGAGCCTGCTTCAGCGCCGCTGTGACTTCTTTCAGCTCGATTTGTACCCTGTCGTAGTCGTCGGCACACTGTTCTGGTGTGAGGCTCTGTCGCAGTGTTCGTCGCTGCCTGAGGAGCTCGAGTCGGTATTGCTTGGCTCGCTTCGTAAGCTGGTCGAGTTCGTCGGGTGAGCCGTTTTTTCCGAAAGTCCTGAGCATGGCCGATCGTGCCGCTCCTCCCAAAAGGTCCCAGGTCTCGTCAGGCGTCGCCGCCTCCAGTGCTCTCTCCCACTGCTTCCCGCCCACCTCCTCCACCTCCTTGTCGAGTTCGGTGAACAGCATCTCCCTCTTGTGGCCGCTGCGCAGGCATTCCATGAGTCCGTCCCTGCACAGCCCCCGTTGTAGGCGGGCGCGCGTGGGGAAGGAGGTGGTGGAAGTAGAGGCGAGGAGGGTGAGGCCGATGGGGAGGTGGCCCCTGTGCCTTCGTACTTTTACCTTTTGGAGCCTTTTGCCTGACCGATGGAGGACCTCACACCTTTTTATGAGTCCCAGGGCCCCTGTAGGTACTACAATGTGGTCGATACGACTGTTGTAACCTGAATGCCCGTAAAATGTGGGTTCAGCGATGTGGTAGGTGGTAGCAATACTGAGGTCGCTGGTCTGGCACAGGGTTCTGAGGCTCGTGCCGTTGGAGTTCTCTATTCTGGGTTCCCTGTCTCCTACCGTCGGTCCTCTACTTCGCACGATGGTCCCGTCGGTATCTCGCTGGCAACCAAAGTCGCTGTTCACATCCCCGCCCACGCACTGTTCCAACCATTTAGTTATCGCGTCTGCTAGTGGCACGTAGTACGAGAGGTGGGTGGGGGCGTAGTAGTAGACAAAGAGTGCGTAGTCGTATTGGCTAGTAGAGAGGCGAATTCCTGCAACCCGTCCCTGGAGGCTGGTTGGTGGTATGTAGGTCTCTCGTAAGCTGCGCTCGTCGATTCTCTGGCTGATGAGGATCGTTAAGCCACAGCTTTTGTTGATCCACTTCCCTTTGCGGGCACCGAATTGTAACACGTAGTGGTTAGGGAGGTAGTGTCTCTGTACTGCTTTTGCTCCCGCCCATCTACATGTGCCACTGAGGAGAATGACGTCCCAACTGTGTAGTTCAGCACTGATGTCCTCGAGTCGTTCGATGCTCGCTGCCTCCTGGGGGTTGTAGTAGCAGATTCTCATGCCTAAGCGCACGGGCTCGCCATGCGGGCCCCCCAGTCCCCCCTGCCCCCGAGGCCTGCGGGTGTGGGCGCAGAATCGCTGATGTACTATTGTACGTGAGGTGCGGTCGAGGAGGAGGGAGGAGGAGGAGAGTAGGAGGAGGAGGAGGAGGAGGAGGGGGTGGGAGAGGGGAGGAGGAGGAGGAGGGGCTGAGCCCCCGGGGCCCGCGGCGCCGCTCGGGGCCTCCTCCGGGCCCCTTCGCGGCGGGCCAGGCCCAGCCATATCGCAGCGAGGCGCCCCGGCCGACGAGGGCGAGCGCGACAGGGAGCCTGCCCCCTCTCGGCCAGCCGTAAAACCCTCTCTTGTTGCGCAGGCACCCCTGGAAGCAGAGGCCGGCCACACGCAAGCGCCACCCCAGGGGCCTTTGGGCGCGCGGCTGCGAGGGCCGCGGGGCTCGGGGGGGGGGGGGGGCAAGTCCCAGCGCGCGGCTGTGGGGGGGGGGGGGGGCGCGGGTGGGGTCAGCAGTGCTGGGGAGGGCCCTGTGGGCCCGCGCCAAGAAAGAAAGTCATTCCAGCGAAGGGCCACTCCTGCGCATGGCCGAAGAGCGTGCCGCTGGACTTGCCCCATCGGGCTTTGCCAGAGGTGCCCCTGGCCCAGGGCGTCCCCAGCGTGCCGCGCCAGTTTGGAGCCCCTGGGGCCCTCGGGGCCTCGCGAGGGGTGCTCTGGAAGCCGTCTGGGCCTCCCTGCAACTCATGTGGACGCCCTGGGCCAGAGCGACCTCTGGCGACGCCCTGCCCCCCGGCGCTCACTGATTGATCCCATCCCTCCCCTCCAGGACGTTGGGGCTGGCGCTGCGCAGCACGATGGTGGCGATCTTCGAGTCCCGCGTCCTGCCGGCGGCCGCCCCAGCCCCGCACGCGCGCGTGCATGTCCTGGCGCTGGTCTGAGCCAAAGCCTGCAGGCATCCCAAGTGGGGCCCGACAGATGGGGTCGGTGGCGGATCGCGCCGCATCGCCAATGCATCGGCGATATCGGCTATGCGTCGGCGCCGTCGGCCTGGAGAAAATCGGGCTCCACATCGAGCCGTATCGCCGATCATCGACGATGCGGCGCAATCCTTCGACCCCATCGAGTCGGTCCCCGTCTGGGAGGCCTGCGAAGGCTTCCCCAGAGGGTCCCCTTGCCCCACCATCTTCGAACGCCTGGTTTCTAACTTCGAGCCTGGCGTGCAACGCCTTTCGAACCATGCGGCTCGGAATTCCGGTCTGGCCGACCCAGGGGGGCTCAAAGTCTGAGCCCTGCGACCCTGTGCGTCAGACGGATGCTGCGAGGCTCACGTAGCTTGTGGCGAAGACCGGCAGCTCCCCACAGCCGCGCGCTTCGAGCACGCCGCCGCCGCGGGGTGGACGCTGGCAGCTCCCCAGAAGGATCATGGCTGCGAGCGCCAGTCGCGAGAGGCAAGAGCAGAGGCTGCGCCACGAGAGACGCCTGGCCTCGGACCCACGCTTCGAGCCGACCCCGGAAGGCAGCCTCGCCTCACGCTCCGCCCCCGAGCCTCGGGCTGAAGGCTCGACCTGTTTCACACCTCGAACCAGGCTGCCTCCTCAGCGAGGGCACCGGCACCAGAGCCAGGGAGCTGGAACGCAGCTGCGCCTGGTCAATCTCGAGGTTGGCGCACCCTCCCAGGCATCCGACGACATGGTTTCTCAGTGCGCGGCCACAGAAGTCCCGACCCCTTACCCAGGGGTAGCTTTTCGTCCCGAGCCCGTTGGTGATGGCCCCGGGGGCCCGATGACGGCCCCCTGGAGGCCGAGACGAAGGAAAGGCGCCAGGATTGAGAAAACAACACAAGCACCGCAGCAGCTCTGGGCGCGATTGCTCACATCGCCTCCCCCCGCCGTGCTCCGCGGCCGTCCTCCGCGCGCGGAGAGGGGATCCGACAAGCTCACCTGTGGCAACCACCTCCGCGCTTCACGCTCCGCGAAGCGCGAAGCACGACTATCTTCGCGCTTTCGTGATGGGCCTGTTTTCCACCACCACCACCACCATAAGTTGGAGGGGGAGGGGGTCCTCCTCCTCCTTCTCCCTTTTTTTTTTTCTTTCTTTCCCCTCCCCTCACATCTCTCCTTCCTCCTCCTCCTTTCCTCCTCCCTCCTTCTCCTCCTCCTCCTCATCCTACTCTCTAACACCATCTCTCCTCCCCTCCTCAAACTTATCGTGGTGGTGGTGGTGGTGGTGGTGGAAAACAGGCCCATCATTTCGCCCCCCTCCCTTCCCCCCCCCCTCCCCGGAACAGGAGGAGGGACCCGCGCCTCGCTCGAAAATGGCCCAGCCCGCGCAGCGCGAAGCGCGACTCACTGCGCACCCCCGTGGCGGCCCCAGATCACAGTGGACATGTCGACCCCCGTCCCAGGCCTCGCTGGGCTTCCGAAGAAAAAAATGGGACCAACCCTGGGATATACGACGTGGGGGCGCCCATCCTCGATAGGGGTGCGCCTGAATAGCCCCCTTGGGGCGTGTCCCAGGCTGCCCCCCTTTTGCTGAGCGGCCAGACTTTTCGGGCGGGAGTCGGGGATTGGGGGAGAAAAATCGCCTGCGACAAGAAGCACACGCCGGTGACAGGCCCCCACCCCCGCCGCAGGGGGGGGGGCAGCCAGCCCCTCGCCACGCGCTCCGCTCCGATCGGGCGCCGCCCGAGCTCGCCATCGCTCAGACGTCCCTTCCCCGCGCATGCTTCTGCGTCGCGCGCCGCGGTGGCGCCGCCGCCATCCCTCCCCTTCCCTCCCTCCTCGCGCGCCGCCATGGCGCCGCCGCGCTGCCGCTCCTGGCGTGCAGCTCAAGCTCCACCCACTCGGTGCCGCCCCGCCGCGGACGCTGCGCTTGGGCCGCGGCATCACACAGACGGTGCACCTGGTGGGCACAGCATCTTGCTGCTGGTTCGCCATTCGTCACTGCGCCCTGGCAGCGCCCGTGGGTGCGCCCTGGCCTCGGCCCTGGCTGCTGCCACGGTAACCGCTGCCTCGGTTGGCCGCTCTGGCCTGCTCGCTCGACGCGGAACTCTTTCACGTCTGAGCGCTTTCCCCTCCCCCTCCCTCCGCGCGGCCGCCCTCGTCTTCTTCCCCCCTCTTGCACGCCGGCCAAGTAACCTTTCGGTTGCCCCGAATAGCCACACGCTGGAGCGGACTGCCTCTGCCTCGCTGCCGAAGAACAAAGTTTCTGTTTCGCGCCCATATTGGTCGCAAGATGATCCACGATGTTCCTCGATGGTCCTCGCCGAGAAAAATGCTGACGTCCGAGCGATGCCGAGAAGAGGTGCGGCCCTGGCCGGCTCCCGCTCCCCCGGCGCTTCGGTGGATTGGATGCTCGCTCTGGGCTGCTGCGTCGAACGCCCGTCGACTTGAGGTGAGCTTGAATCGAGCTCGAGTCGAACTTGGGCGAACTTGAATCGAGCTCGAGTCGAGCCGGAGCCGAAATGGAGTCGAACAGATCCTGCAGGTGGGCCCCCAGGAGGTTCCCCAAAACGAGCGTCTGCAATCGAGGCTCGGGTGGCCCCCAAAGCACCCCATCACGAGGCCAGAGGGCCCCCGGGGCTCCATGATGGCCCCGGGGGCTCGTGTCGTTCGACACGTAGACCCCAAGTCCTCGATACCTGCCATTTTTGTCTTCGATCGTACCTCCATTGGCGAGTGCATCTTCCCCCCTGCCAAGCGTAGCTGGCGCAACCTTTCAAGCAGGACGAACAGAACGAATGGAAAAGGGAGGGAGCGAGGAGGATGAAGTTCCAAACTTGGCCGCGCTGCGTGTAGGCCCCGCCCCGCCATGCTCACCTCGGGCAGCGGCGGCAGGGGCTATGTGTGCTCAATTTCTGGACTGTCACTGGGCTCCGACTAGGGACGGGACTGGCGCCTGGATATGAGGTCCGTGCCCACGTCAGCTTCGGGTGGGGCCGACGTGCTTTTTGGCGAGCCAGGCGGGGCGACACGACTGAGCTGTCGGGGTCCGCCGCGATGCCCACGATACTGCGGCTGGAGTTCGTCCCGCTGGTCACGTTTGCGCTGCTGGGCTCCACTTTTACGGCCGCGGCGACGAGGGCTCTTTCGGCGGTGGACAGACCTCCCTTTGGTAAACCTCCCCTTAGTGAAAACGGCCTGGGACCGAAACCGACGGACCTGGACCCGCAGGAAATGCCGACCGCGACGCCCTCTCGCGAACCGAAAACGGCCAATTCCTTAATCGACGTGTCAGGGAGGGAGGTCTATCCGCCTCCGACTCTTCAGGACGAGCAGCGGTCGCGGGATCGACCCGCCTTCGGACGCGCCGGAACTCCGGCCGTGGCGACGAAGCATTTCCAGGATGTGCAGCGGTGCGTCCGTCTGTTCGGAACTCCTCCTCCTCCTCCTCCTCCTCCTCCTCCTCCTCCTCCTCCTCCTCCTCCTCCTCCTCGTGGAGGAAGAATCGACGTGGTGGTGATGTATATTCTTGGGGCCCGCATGCTTACGACGCCCACCCCCGGAGGTCTGGACCCCTTCCACGGGACCAGCCTCTCATCCCAGGATTTCCAGGAGCAGCCTTTCGTCCGTCGATTCGGAGCTCTCCGGCTCCCCGAGGGTCCAGGCGCGGCGACGGGGGCTCTCCAGGCGCAGGCCCCCGCCTCCTCGTCCGTCGTTTCCTCGAACTCCACCTCCTCCTCGAACTCTCCACCCCTCCACCTCCACCACCTTGCCGTCGGAGCCCCTCTCCACCATTAACTCCGTGTCCTTCACTTCCTCCGTGATCTCCAGCTCCCTGACCTCCTCGACCTCCTCGTCAACGACCTCCCTCTGGACCTTCGCCTCCCCGAGGACTTCCTCGACCACCTCCTTGATGGCGGTCTCCCCCACCACCTCCTCAATCTTCATCTCGACGCACATCTCCTGCCCGCGGGACTCCTCCGCACTGTCGTGTTGCTGGAGTTCGTCGTGATGCTCGCGATGCTGTTGCTGGAATCCGTCATGCTGCTTGCGGTCGTGCTGATGGTGTCCGTCGCAATGTTCCCAATGCTGCTGCTGGAGTCCGTAACGCTGCTGACGACGATGGTGGTGCTGGAGACCGTCGCGCTGCTCGCGATCCTGTCGCTGGTGTCCGTCATGCTGCTCACGGTCGTGCTAATGGACTGCGTCACGCTGTTCCAGATGTTCCTAACGGAATCCGTCATGCTGCATGCTGCTGATGATGGCGGTGCTGGAGTCCGGCCTGCTCCCGCTGCTGCTGATGTAGTCCGTCGTGCCGCTCACGGTCAGCCAGTCAAGGTGACGACAAGCCGAAGCAGCCGTCGTCGCCCTGGGAGAGCACCGCGGCCCCCACCCAGCCATCCTGTGACCCCACGGCGGCCGCCGCCAGAGCCGGCTCTGCGGGCCAATGCCCGCGAGCGACCGCGCGGACCGCAGCGGCCACCGCAGCAGCGGCCGCACCGGCAGCCGCCGCGGCTGTCGCGTCCGCGGCCGCCGCCCCAGCCGCCGCGGAGACGGCGATAACCGTGGCGACCGCAGCAGCGGCGCCAGCAGCCGAGCCGGCACCCGCCGCAGCCGCGGCATCGGCAGCCGCTCGAGCGGCCGCGGCGGCGGCCGCCGCAGCCGCGCCGCGGGGGGCGAGGGGCCACAGGCCACGACGGGGCGCGCGACCGCCGGGCAGAGCGGCCAAGGCGAGGGCCGAGCCGGCCGCCGCGCCAGCAGCAACCGCCGGCGGCCAGCGGAGCACCCAGGCCGGGAGGGCCCTCGCCAATGGCGGCCAAGGCAGCAGCGGGTCGCGCGGCCGCCGCCCGTCGCTGGATGCGCCGCACGGCAGCCCGCCAGGAGACGGAGACATGGAACCGCGGGAGGGGCGCCAGGAGGAGGAAACCCCGCCCAGCGCCCCTGAGGCCGGCCGAAGTCAAGGGAAGACTCCGGCACCCAACCCGCACAGGCTAACCTTGAGCCGAACGGCTTGAGCCAGGCTGCGGTGGGATTGAAAAACAGTTCGCCACTGGTAATGTGTATGCTGTAGTTTCCGACCTAAAACGCCCCAAAGATGCCGCCAAGAAGCCTTCAAGGGCCTCACAGGGCACACGTCTGTCTGTCTGTCTGTAGCCTTGCATCCTTGACGGGCGCGTGGGCAAAAACAACAAAAAGAAAACATCCAGCCTGAATGTGTCTACGTACACAGGTAGAGGGTGATACAAAATATGCCCTGACTCGTATCGCTTACGGGGCTCACGTCTAAGATCTGGCAGGATTGGGCGTGCAACAGATCACGCGCAAGACCGGGAGACACTTACAAAGCTGTGTGCCCCAAACTGTACACTGATGTCGCCCACTGCTGTCTCGGGCGCCCCCGGCGTCTGCGGCAGGCCCAATTCTTAGGTGCGCCGTCGGCATCGCACACTAATCGTTTGACTAGTGAGCCGTCGCTGTGCGAACCAATTTTCTTATACAAGAATTCTTGACAAAGGCTTGGAACATGCTCGATCTAGCACGTCGGCGTTCGAAACCCGGGAAAAATAAGAGGGTGCGATGTTCAGGATGTTCCGCAAGTTCTTGCAGTGAAAGGCGTCCAACCTGGCTTTGTCCTTTTGCAAGAGCCACAACGAGTCCAGCGAATACAACAGCTTGCTTAGCACACAACTGTAATACATGTGAACATTTCGCTTCTTTCCTATGGCAGAATGGTTTCTACACCATACATAAGGATTGACATGTAGAAGTGGCTTCTCCACGTCGTCGTGAAAGCTCGCTTCCCACACGCCCGTCATGAGCGATCAGTCCCCCCAGGTAAACAGCTTCGGTCACGATCTTGATCGCGAGCCCGTCGGGATCCCTGACGCATTGCTGTGTTGATATTTGAACTTGTACAGTCTTGTCCCAATTAAGCTCGAGGCCGTATTGTCGCCCTTCCCTCACGATGGCTCCCAGCATGCACTGTAGATTCTGCGAGCACGCAGAGATTAAGGCGGTGTCATCTGCGTACAATATGTCCCGGGTGACCACGTAAGCGGGCTCCGGCCGAAGATGAAGAGAGTCGTGCAACATAACAGATCGTACAATGACAAATAAATAAGGCGATAAAGGACATCCTTGGGCAATACCAACTGCTTGGCGTCGCTCTGATGATTTTCCACAGTGTTCAATAATACAGGGCACACGGGAGCCCCGAAAAAAGGCTCCCAGGAGGCTGCCCCCCCGAGGCCTCCAAGAGAGACCCTTAAGAAGCCCCGCAGCAGACGCGGAGGAACAAGGGAACAGGCCAGGCACAACCACACGCATGCAGCACGCAGCACGGTGTTATGAGGGAAATCCTGGAGGCCTCGCGCGGCAACCTGAGACCCAATAGATCGAATACACGTCGGAATTACGTCGGGCTCACGTCGGCTTGCATCGGATTTGCGTTGAGCTTACGTCGGAGCATCGCCACGAGAAACGTCATACCTTCTGGGGCAGACTAGATAATATGAATGCAACTGCTGCGCGCCGCGCGAGGCCTACAAGATTTTCCTCGTAGACGGCGGGCCGCAGCAAATAACGAAAGCGGACGCCGCACATCTCCTCCTCTGGGGGCCGGCGGATTGGCGCGAACCGAACCGCTTGAGTGTGCATCAACAGCGTAGAGTATGGGAATGTATGACATCCCACGGCGGCACTGGCAGGGAGGCAGCGGCTCCTGAGGATGGTCAGCTTCTGCGAGGCTATCTCTTCCACCTTGGCTGGAGGGCGGGGCGGGGTCAGCACAGCACTCGCTGGCCAGAGGCGGCCAGACCTTGCGTCTGAGCTGAAGGAGGAGGAGGAGGAGGAGAAGGAGGAGCAGGAGCAGCACGACGACGACGACGACGACGACGACGACGACGACGACGACGACGGCGGCGGCGGCGGCGACGACGACGACGACGACGACGACGACTACGACGACAACGGAGGCGGCGGCGGCGACGGCGACGGCGACGGCGACGGCGACGGCGACGGCGACGACGACGACGACGACAACGACGATGACCCCGACGTCGTGAATACAAATCCCGTCGACAAAAATCAAAACAAAGCCCATGAGTCATGGGCCTCGTTTTGATTTTTCCCATGCCATGGGCCATGACATTCCAGTGCCTGCGCGGGGCTCCACGCACTGCCCAGACTCCTCACCCCCCAAGGGGGCCGTGGTGCCCTTCGTGGTGCGCAGGGCTGGGCTGCTGGCGCCAGACGAGGAGCCCCGGCGGGGGGCTGAGCGGCCAAGCTGCTGCGCGCTGCAAGCTGCGCCGCTGGTCGCGCCGCTGGCGCCCCTCCTGCGCGTCGGCCGCGCTGGCCGGCCGCTGGCCGCCCTGGGAAGCGGCGGCCAAGGGCGCTGGACACGCCGAGGCGGCGGCGGAGCGCGCGCCTCGCTTGGCTGGACCGGAGGCGCCGGGCCCGCCGGGCTGCGGCTGCTGCGCGCGCGGCGCGCGGGGGCCGCGGGCGGGGGCGGCGCCGGCGGCGCGGCGGCACTGCGCTGCGAGCGGCGCCGGGCGCGGGCGACTGGCGCTGGAGAGGCCGCACCTCGCTGTGTCGGTGCTTGAAGCCCCTTTTTTCCTCCAGAAAATTCTAGGAAGTCCGAAGGAACACCAGGGCTCGCTGCCGAAAAGGTAACGGAACATGTTCAAACCAAAGGAACGACCGAGCCCCTTTTGAAAAGTAAGTGTTCCTTATTCAAGCCGGACCCTGTATGCCTAGTCTGTAAGCCCCGGCTGGCGCAACCCCTCAAAGAGCCGACGCTCCCACAAGAGTTCGAGCGGCGGGAGTTTGGCAGCTTTCGGCCTCCAGGGGCCCTCGCCGGGCCTCGGGAGCGTCAAAAGACGACTCGGGACGGAAACCGGCCCTGGGGAAGTGGTCCGGACCTCCAGGGCCCACGCATCGAAGCAGAGTGGAGCGGCCAGGTAGATGCCCGGGGCCTCCCCACTGGAGGCGGCCGCTGCTGGGCCGCCAGGCCCTCGTGCCGGTCGCTTGGCAGCGGCTGTTCCTGGGGGTCTGGTGCGAAGCACTGGGGGGGTGCACCGGCACAAATTCAAAGAGCGTCTAGACCGCGTTCCGCCGCGGAGGAGGAGGACCATGGTACACCCAAGGCGCATCAAAGATGTTGGAATACAACCTCCCTCCAAGCTCCCTCTCTTCACAGGCCCCTTTACCCTTTACCAGGATTCATTTCCACTGAAAGAGTTGCCCCGTAGGGGGATTACCGTGTGACATCCCTGAAGCGTGCCAACACATATTCTCAGGACTTCCGCGACGCGAGTTAATCTGACTGGTATGTCTGGGGATCTGGAATCGTGCCAGAACATCCTTCCTGGGACTTCAACACGGCGAATCAGCGTAACTGTTGCGCCCTGACATTCTTGAATCGCTCCAAAACACCATTTCGATAATCAATCAAACTCTTGCGAACTTTTAAAACGAATGGGCGCGGCGCTCAGGCGAAAACCATATTTTGAAAACGAACCGCCCTCAATCCGTGAAACTGTTGAAATTATTGGAAACGAATGCGCAAAGGGCGTAGGCGAGAGCCACACTGTGAAAACGACCCGCCCTCAATCCGCGAAGCCCTTACAATTTGTTTGAAACGAATGTGCGCGGCGCTAAGGCGAGACCCACATTTTGCAAACCACCCACCCTCAATCCGTGAAACTCTTGCAATGTGTTTGACACGAGTGTGCGCGGCCCACATAAAACATAATAAGGTGTGTATATATATATGAGAGAGAGAGAGAGAGAGCGTGATCCACCGCCGCTTTACTGTGGAAAATTGCCAACCTTTTCCTCCGGAACCGCGGGGTCCCCCCCCCCTCCGAAAATCACCCCCCCCTGCTGGAACCCCTCCCCCCCCCCCCTCCCTCCCAGCAAAACCCCCCCTCCCCTAACCCCTCCCCCCCCCCCTCCCCCCTCGAAAACCGGGGGGGGTCACTACCGGTTCGAACCCCCCCCCCCCCCCCCCCCCCCTCCGGATCGGAAAAACCGGGGGGGTCACTGGAACCCCCCCCCCCCTTCTCGAAAACCGGAGGGGGGTCACTACCGGTTCGACCCCCCCCCCCCCCACGCACCGCCAGCAAACGACTCCCGGTCCCTACCACCGCTCGCATCACATCCCCCACTGTTGTTCCCAGCACCACTGTCCTCACCACCACTGTCCCCACTGGTTCCACCACCGTCCCTATTGTCCCCACCAGTGCCCCCACCACTGTCGCACTGTCCCCACTGTTCCCAACTGTTCCCACCACGGTTCCACTCTCCCCACTGTCTCCACGGACCCAACTACTGCCTATCCCCACTGTCCCCACTGTCCCACTGACTCCTCCGCTGTCCCACTGAGCTGTCCCACTGTTTCCACCACTGTCCCCACTGTCCCCACCACTGTCCCCACTGTACCTCTGTCCCATTGTCCCACCGCCGTCCTCGCCACCGCCTTTACCAGTGTCCCCACCACCATTGTACCCTCCACTGTCCCAGTGTTTCCACCTCATTCCCACTGTCCCCACACCACTGTCCCCACCACCACCGTTCCCACCACTGTCCACTGTCCCCCCTGTTCCCACCATTGTCCCCACCACTGTCCCCACCACTACCGTCCCCACCACTGTCCCACTGTCCCACTGTCCCCACCACTGTCCCGCTGTCCCCTCACCACTGTCCCCACCAACACCGTCCCCACCACTGTCCGCACCCCCACTCGGTTTTCGAGGGGGGGGGGGGGGGGGGGGGTTCGAACCGGTAGTGACCCCCCCCCCTTTTCATGATGAGCTGGGGGGGGGGGAGGGGTTCGAACCGGTAGTGACCCCCCACGGTTTTCCGCCAGCAGCGGTAGAACACGCTCTTTCATATATATATATATATATATATATATATATAGAAGCCAAAAACCAAAAACGCCCTCAATCCGCCAAGATCATTTTGGAAATGTGCTAAACGAATGTGCGCAGCGCTAATGCTAGAGCCGCATTGTGGAAGCGTGCCGCCCTCCATCTGTGAAGCTGTTGCCATTTGTTTAGGTGTCAGGATCATGAGTGGGGAGGCAGTCTCTAGCGAAACGCCCGGCCCACCCTTTCGACCGGCCTCGGGGTGCGACAGGGAGGAGGAGGAGGAGGAGGAGGAGGAGGAGGAGGAGGAGGAGGAGGAGGGGGAGGACCACTGTAAACCCAAGAGTCACCAACGATGTTGGAAGAAACCCTCCCCCCAAGCTCTCTCTTCATAGGCCCCTCCAACGGTTCCTTTCCTGAGTGTATTGCCTCGTTGGAAGGCAACATGTTGAACACCCTGAAGCATACCAAAACATGATTCTCGGGATTCCAACGCCACTGATCAACCTGACTGTTGCGTCTTGGCGACCCTGAATCGTGCCAGAACGCCATTCCTGGGACTTCAACACCGCGAATCACCGTAACTGTTGCACCCTCATAATCTTGAATCCTTCCGAAGCGCGTTTTCTGGTACGTCAATTATGGGAACCCGTGAACATCTTGAAATTTTGCACAACGAATGTGCGCAGCGCTCAGGCGAAAGCCACAGTTTGAAAAGGAACCGCCCTCACTCCGTGAAACTCTTGCAGTTTTCAATGAACGAATGTGCGCGGCGCTACGGCGAGAGCCACATGTTGGAAAACAACTGCCCACAATCACTTAAACTCTTGGATTGTTTCAACGAGGGTCGCATTGTAGAAAAACGGCCCACCCTCAATCTGTGCAACTCTTGCAAAGTTAAAACACGAATGAGCGCGGCGCTAAAGCGAGATCCACACTTCGAAAACCACCCGCCCCCAATCCGTGAAACTTTTGCAATTTGTTTGAAGCGAATGTGCGCGGGGCTAAGGCGAGAACATTTTGAAAACCACCCGCCCTCCATCTGTGAAGCCGCTGCAAAAAGTTAAGCTTCAGGGCCACAAGTTGTGAAGAAGTCTCAGGCGGAACACCGGTATCACTGTCATCAGCACCAACACGCTCACCATCGCCGTTATCATCAATCTGCATATCACCATCACCACCGCACGCATCACAATAAGACTGTAGCGGCATCGGTATCGTCACCATCACTATCACCGTCACCGTAATTGTCATCACACCAACACCGTAGCCTCATGCTTCCCCTCCTCGAGCGTCGACGCGGCGTCTGCGCCCGCACTGCACACCTACCCTGAGCTGGGCGTCGACCACGAGCAGCCTGCAGGGCACCTCCTCACTCCCTCCCTCGCACATTGGGCCGCCTGGGACTCAGGGCTGGGCTTCCCTTCGCTGGATAGGGTGGCGAGCGGAACACGAGTACCCCCCCATTGCCACTGGGGAAAGAGCCGCCCTTTGGCAAGACAGCGAGCAAACTGCCGCAACGCCGAGCCCGACCGACCCTCGCCCGCTTCGAGCACCTCCGCACTCTGCACGCAGCCCAACTCCACCACTTCCTCCTCCCTCGCCCGCGCTGGGCGCACCCTCGCGCTCCCGCCCTGCTTGGAACCGGCTGGGGGGTCTGAGCTGCACAAGCCCCAAGAAGATATGCCGAAGAGGCGGAGATGAAGGCAAATCCATTCAAAATCGGTCCCCAGGCCCCCTCAGTTTTTCGAGCCGCATCCAGCCGTGGCGACGAGGGGGCCCCGCTGGCCAGAGCGAGTGCAGGGCCACCTTGCGAGGAACAAACAACTGCATAAACGTTGGAGGTCCGCGCGGATTACCTGGACCCGCCCAGACGCCTCAAAGCTAATCGTTATGCCGTGGTCTCTTCTTCGAGCCTCAGCCCCCCGTCCGGCTCCAACTTCCTCCCTCCCTCCCTCGCCCCCTCCCTCGCTCGCTCTGTTGGGCGCTACTTCACAGTAGGGCGATGAATGGGAGGGAGAGGAGCGTGCACCTTTCGTGCCCCTTTGGGGCCCCAACGGGGCCCCTTACAGCCAACTCATATAGCGAGGATGCACGGTAAGGACGCAAGGGCGCCCATGCCGAGGCTCTTCGAGCGGGGCTTGCCATTGAAAGTGGTTGAGGATGGACCGAAAATGACCGAAGAGGCAAGAATGCAAGAGTACCCTTGGGAAGTCGCTCATCATTACTATGCGGGTTGACCGTAAGGCCCCTTTAGCAGGCGCCCCCAGAATCGAATCGACAAGACGGATCGGCGATCGAAATGAATCGGATCGGCGGAAATCGGCAGCCGAGTCGGGAAAAGTCGGATCGGCCGTATGCCTCCAAGAAGAGATCGGAACCCAAACCGGAATCCCAAATCGGATCGAATCAGAACCGGAAGCAATCGAACATCGAATCGAATCGGATCTGAGGGATCGAAACTAGGGCCGCTCCGGAGCCCCATTTTGGGGCGTCGCCACGCCATGCTGTGTCATGCCACGCGTTGACATTCGACGCCATGCTGTGCCATGTAACGATACGCCATGCTACGACATCCAACTGTGCGAATAGAGAGGAGATCTACGGGGATGGGAGGAAGGGGCAGGGCGTCAGATATGACGCGAGCGCACCCAGCTTGTGGGCCCCCCCTCCCCCGGTGATCGCCCCGTTTCTGGGCGCGCCGTGGCATGCCACCGCTGCCCGCCGCGCGGCCGCGGAGGGCTGTCGTCGCCGCCGTGGGCGTGGCCGCTGCCGCCGCCGCCGCCGACGACGACGACGAAGACAAAGACAAAGACAAAGCCAACGACGGCGGCGGCGGCGACGGCGACGGCCTCGGCGACGACGACGGTAGCGCCCTCCTCCTCCTCCTCCTCCTCTTCCTCCTCCTCCTCGTCGTCGTCGTCCTCCTCCTCCTCCTCCTCCTCCTCTGGGCGCCTTCGCGCTCTCAACGTAGCCCAGCTCCTCGGGGAGCGGGGGGCCCTTGCGGATGATGGCGGTAGCGCCCACCGTGCGGCAGAGGCGCCTGTACTGGCGGCGGGAGGAGGAGGACATGGGGAGGAGCCGAGGGCCGCAGAGAAGCGGGGAGGAGAAGCAGGAGAAAAGGGGGGGGGGGACGTGGCGTTGCGCAGCAAGGGAGAGGTAGAGAAACCAAAAAGTACAGATACCGCTACTCCCCGGACCTCTCACGGGCTGCGTTCTGACCAGGACTTCGAGGCGAAGAATCCAGCCGTGGCGACGAGGGCCTCCCAGGAGGCCCTACAAAGGGGACAACGACAGAAGGGTATAGCGGTATGGGTACCTCTTCATCCTTCGAGTGAGGTGCCGGCCCATAACCCAACCTTTTCGCTCTGGGCTGCCCGCGCCCACCAGGAGCTTTTTGTTCCCCATGTTTCACAACAGCGGCCGTTGCCGGCCCCGGCCGTCCCCCATCCCCCCCCCCTGGTAACGTCACCAGGCGTGCTGACCTCCGAGCTGGCTTTGGTGATTCCAAGACATTTCCAGACAGCGCCGCCGCGAAACGTGACGTTAGCGTTAGGTCTGGCATGTCCTCCGACAGGCGGACTTTCGAAGAAACGGTGTAAAATTGTGAACAAACAATCAAAAGAGCACTGGCTCACCGCACGGTGTGCTCACCACCCCGTTTGGGGGCCCCGGTCCACGGTATGTTCGGCCCCCCGGGGCCAGAGCAGAGCGAGTGACCAGATCCACACCCGCCACCTGCCGAGGCCCCCGCGGGTCGACCCACCGGGCAGCGGTCATGGACATACGTCCCCGCCTCCGATCAGTGGCCAGAGGAGGAGGAGGAGGAGGAGGAAAAATGAGGAGGAGGAGGAGGAGGAAGAGGACCAGTGTAAACCCAAGAGTCCTCAACGATGTTTGAGTAAACCCTCCCTCCAAGCTCCCTCTTCATAGGCCCCTACATCAGTTCATTTCCATTGACGGAGGTGCCTCGTTGGAAGACAAGCGCTCGAAGACCCTGAAGCATGCCGAAACATTGTTCTCGGGACTCCAACGCCACGGATCAACCTGACTGTTGCGTCTTGACGATCCTGAATCATGCCAGAACGTCATTCCCAGGACGTCAACACAGAAAACCAATGTAACTGTGGCACCCGCATAATCCTGAATCCGTCCAAAGCACAAGTTCTGGTACGCTGATGATGGGAATCCGTGAAACCTTTGAGATTTTAACACAAAATGTGCGCGGCGCTATGGCGAGAACAACATGTTGTAAACCACCCGCCCTCGATCCATGAAACTCTGGCAACTGTTTAAGACGAATGTGCGCGGTGCTAACGCGAGAGCAAGATGTTGAAAACCACCCGCCCTCAACCCGTGAAACTCTTGTGAATGTTTAAGACGAGCGTGCGCGGCGCTAAGGCGAGAGCCACATTTTGGAAACGGCGCGCCCTCAACCGGTGAAACTCTGGCAAATGTCTAAAGCGAATGTGCGTGGCGCTAAGGCGAGAGCAACATTTTGAAAGCCACTCGCCCTCAATCCGTGAGAGCCACATTTAGAAAAGAACCCGCCCTCCATATGTGAAACTGTTGTCAGTTGTGCAGCTTCAGAGTCATAAACGGTGAGGAAGTCTGAGGCGAAACGCACAGCCTGCACAACATTGGCTTCGGGGTGCGACAGGGAGAAAGTATTATCCAGATAGGCTTGCCCTATTGGAGTCCTAGCTCAAACCTTACTAATTGGTCCGTTGTCCTCCCTAATTCCGGTGCCCCCCCTAATTCTTATGGCTATGCCTATGCCTATGCCTCCCCCTTAACTCCTGTGCCTACGCCTATGCCTATGCCTGCTTGCTTGCTTGCTTGCTTGCTTGCTTGCTTGCGCGCTTGCACGCTTGCTTCTTTGCTTGCCTGCTTGCTTGCGCGCTTGCTTGCACGCTTGCTTGCTTGCTGAGTTGCGGATTCCAAGCATGCTTGATTCCTCTAATTCCTTGATTTGTCGTTCAATCGATTTGGAATCAGCGCTGACTGATACAGGTGGAGGAGGAGGAGGAGGAGGAGAGTACAAAGATCGATCCGACTGCCATGTGGAGCGCTCAGAGCTATCGCTGTCCCTCGGGCGGCGGACCCAATGAGAACAACTGGAGCTGCACTGCATCGAGCGCTCGAATGTATCTCTGCCCTCGGGACCCGGACCCAAAGTCGGGGGCGCGCAAACATGGATTAGCGTTCCATGGATGTGGCGCGCGGTCGCCAAATCCATGGGTCGGGGGAGGTGCACTCCCCAAAATGCGGCCAGGGCCGCCTCGTTCGGCGGCGGAAATCCGCGATTCCCCATGGAAGCGGGACCCGTCGCTAATCCACGCCCCCTTGATCCACGTCTCCGATCGCCTGACACTGCAGAGAGACTGGAGGGGACGCGCATCCAGGCCAGCGCTGCCTGCTTGGTGGCACACCTGGCGGAAGCAGCACGCAACGTCTGCCTACGCGCAAGATTCCAGATCCCGAAAGCTTGGTTCTGCCGATACTAGTGATCTCTGCTCCATACTGCTAACTATATTTCTTCGCGTCCTCGGTGACGCCCTGAAGCTGGCGCTGGTGACCTCCCAAGCTGGGCGTGAAGAGCATCTCGCAGACCTCAGGAGTGGCCTCTAGGAAGTTACCCCGTGACCAGCAGCACTGCTTCCAAGACTGCAGACGCTGATCGATACACCTGGACACTCTGATCTCGACACCGCTCTAGTTCATGCTTGATTCTCTTACCTGGACGCGGAGAAAGAGGTGTGAGAAGACAGACGGAGCACAGAGCCAGCGGGCCTGAGCTCGAACTTAGAAGAGATCCTTAAGGCCATGATCTTGTACTTGTTCAGAAAATGGCCCGCGATCTCAGAAATCGAGCCCCCCGAGATGATCAGCTCGACGCCGGCATCCTTGACGCTCTTGATGAACTCGTCCATCCGAGCCTGCACCCCCTGCGCTCGTCACCTCCATACTCCTACTCTCCCTCCCACATTCTACCCTGGTCTCCCTTCCCCTGCTCATCATCATCATCATCATCATCATCATCATCATCATCATCATCATCATCATCATCAGCATCATGGTCAACTTCTTCATCATCATCATCATCATCATCATCATCATCATCATCATCATCAGCATCAGCATCAGAATCATCATCAGCAGCAGCATCATCACCATCACCATCACCATCACCATCACCATCACCATCACCATCACCATCAGAATCCTGTTCTTCCTCCTTACGCATTCTCCCCTGCTCCCCCAACCCCTGCTCACCATCATGGTCATCATCGCAATCATCACCACAACCACCACCATTATCAACCTACCCGACATCATCACCATCATCATTAGCATCATCAGAATTATCATCATCAGCATCATCATCATCATCATCATCATCATCATCATCATCATCATCGTCGTCATCGTCATCGTCGTCAGCATCATCATCCCGAAACCATCATCATCAGCAGCATCATCATCGTAACCAACAGTATCAACAGCCTCATCATAATTATCAGCATCATCATCAGTATCATAAGCATCCTCATCAGCATCAGCTTCGCAATTACCACAAGCACAAGCATCATAATCTCTTACACCATGCACCTTGACACCTCCATCATCAGCATCATCATCAGCTGCAGCATCACAATTATCATGAGCAGCATACTTATCAGAACAATGACCATTGTCATCATCAGCATCAGTATCCGCATCATCACAATCATTATCCTTACCCGTTTCATCATCATCATCATCATCATCATCATCACCATCATCATCATCGTCATCATCATCATTATCATCATCAGCAGAATCATCATCAGCATGACAAGCGGCTTTATCACCAGCATCATCATTTTCCTCGACTTCGCCATCGCCATAAACACGAACACCAGCAGCACCATCATCATCGACCATCCACCCTGCATGATCATCATCAACCATCATCAATCATCATCATCATCATCATCATCAGCAGCATCATCAGCGTCATCATTATCGTCATCAGCATCATCATCCTAATCAGTATTACAAGCAGGATCATCATCAATATGAAGATCAGCATGACGCTCATTATTATCATCATTATCACCATCATCATTGTCACAAGCATGACCATCATCTTCCTCCTCATCATCATCATCCTCATCAACATCATCAGCATCATCAGTATCGTCATCACAGTCGTCATCTCGAACATCAGCATCGTCATCATAATCTTCAACACCAGCATAATCGCCATCTTCTTAACATCATCATCATCAGCAGCAGCAACATCATCGTCATCATCATCGTCGTCGCCATCGTCAGCATCACTATCATCATCACCACCAACGTGGTCGTCGCCGGCATTCCCATCGTTATCTCCATCATCCTCATCAGCAACAGCATCATCATACTGATGACTCACCATCCGCATCTCGTCCTCATTCTCCTCATCAGTCAGTCCTCCTTCTTTTCCTGCTCATCACTCCTGTAGGGGTCCTAGCGGATTCATACGGTCAAATTGGCTGCGTCGCCGATTTCGGCGGCCCGCGCCTGGGTGCCCGGGTGCCCGGGTGCCTGGTAGCCCTACAGTCCAAAATTCTTATAGCCCTATAACCCTATAGCCCTAGAGCCCTATAGCCCTATAGCCCCATAGCCCCATA